AGAAGGCTGTGGGCCAATCTGGGTGTACGCATTGTGCTTGCATTGCATCACGAAGTGCAGCGTCGGGTTGATCGCATAGCAAATTGCATAGGCTTCGTCGGGCAAACACGGTCGGGGAGACCATAGTTCCTACATCTATAAACTGGAAGCCACAAAAGCCATGTCACGCCCGAGTTTTTAAGGTCTAAGTGCAAGATTTCGTCATGAAAAATAAATGCATGAACATACATACCTGTGAATAGCAGTCAATTGCAGCTTTAAAATTCTTGTCCCGGAAGGCGAAATCCCCGCGCTTTCTTGCCTCCAGCATATCTCTCATCTGTTGTGTCCACTCTTGAAAAGATAGCTGAAACAATTCAAATTACTCACACTCTCAGTATGCAACATAGAACTTCTAATACCCCCTGCACATACAACAGAATCACATTATCTATCAAATAAAGTGAGACGAGTAAATCAAGGCAACCTCGTTAGTTCCTTCGTCGTCTCTGTAGTGTGTCATAACCAAGATTTGATGGATTGCAGTGAGATCCATTCTCGAACAGGCCTCACCCATCGATGATAAGGGGCGTTGTGGGGTTACTGGGGCTTCCTCCTGCTTCTTTATCCCAAGCATGACATAAGAGGGAACCTACAAATGCCCATAGTATTATGGTATGTAAATTACCAAATTTTGAAATACTCGTTTTATCCTATTAAAACATATTCGACCTATCGTCTAGTAACCCTAGTTTTCGGTAAAGTCACAACACAAGAAACCACCAAAAGGTTTTCCAACAGCAGGGTAGGATGATATCGACAGCCAACACATAAGCAAGTAAATTATGAACATAAAGCAAGTAATAGGCTGTGTTGAATCCGTTGATAATATAGATATGAAATGGTTTGAGGGAGCTAAGTTTCTTACATCTGGTTTTGTTAGCAAGGGAGAAAGAGTTGAAACAAGATCCTCAGTGTTAGGCCTGTCCCTAGGTTCATATTGTAAACATTGAGAAGCAAGATTGACAACAACTGTTGCTTCCTCTGTAGAAAATTTTCCTTCCAAATGTGAATCCATTAAGAGAATGATATTCTTTCCTCGAATCAGATCAAGAGCCTGCATTCCGCAAATGTATCAATCAAAATTGACGCAATTCGAAGATTTTAAATCTCGCTAGCAGCAGGACTGTACAAAAAGAATCAAGATAAGACCTAAAGAACATGTTCTAGATCCTACTTACATCGTCCAGAAGATTATGAACAAGAGTTTTCCCCCACCCCAAACGAACAAGAGCTTAATTCTTTTGAAATGGAGGTTTTTATATGACATTGGAACATGTTAACAACAATTTTTCAGTAGGCAAGCAAAAAGTTAATAGTAAAGTACAGTTTAGAATTGTCGCATTATTAACTCAAGCCTAATTCAGACCGGTCAGGAATTAGTAACCTCTCTCCCAAGTCGAAATATGAATTGAATACCCTAAAAAGTTATTGTTGCATCATTATAGTCAAGTAGACTCTAAAACTAAATCATGTAGTGAAGCATCCATAATCTTGGAGAAGAGAGAGGTGTCGAAGAATAACTAGTAGCCCCATCCGAACGACAGGGGCATCAAATTAAAATCTGAAGAATCAATGAAATAAAATTATTTTGGCTCTAGAATCACTACAATAATCATACATAACCATTAAATCTCAATGCCAATCTGTGACTCACTCCTCGTAATAACATCATCAAATGTTCACTCTCTTGTACAATTGATCCGATAAAGAATAAAGATACAACCATACAACCATGCACATAAAAAAAAAATTGTTACAAAATTAGCTACTTACATGACTTGGAGGGATGTGTTTGCCACTTAGAAGATCCAAGAGGACGGTACCAAAGCTGTAAATAACACTTTCAGGGGTTACCCTTCCTGCAATACATAAATTAAAGTGAAGAACAGCACTAGGTAGCTCAAAACACGAAAATGATCTTTAAAAATACCAGATTTCTAACAATGAGCAAATGAGGAACATCGAAGTACCATTTTTCAAATACTCAGGTGGTGTGTAGGCAAGATTCGTGCTGTAACTTTTACCGTCCCTACTGTTTTTCATCAATCCGAAACATGAAAGACGTGGATCGCCATCCTAAAAAAGAGAATAATCAAATAAAGATAAACCTTACACTGAAAAGTGAAAACTATAATAGATCCCAATTAGTGAAAACGATACCTCATCAAAAAGAACTCTATAAGCATTCAAGTCGTGGTACAGTGCACGGCCTTTAGTAGTACAATATTCCAAAGCTTCAGCAATATAGAAAGCAACTCTCAACCGCATGGCCCACTCAATGGTTTGATTTTCCCCTGTCAAAATTTCAACAAGTTAATAAAACAGAAAACTCACTCAATCTTACATAGTTACAAGCACAATTCAACCATAAGCAACATCTACAACTCAAGTAATGATGTCATAATCCAGAATGTTATCCTCTCAAACTAATACTGAATAATGGAACTGTGATAGCCTGACAAGGCCGATGTTGTTTCTCTTACGATAATGAACCTCTCCATGCCTCAACAATAGTACAACATTATTTACTTTAAACTTAAACACACATGATTTAGCGTCTAGTTTCACCTCATACCTATAAGATTACATGATCTTCCCCACTTCTAACCAACGTGGGACTATGTTTGCAGCTTTAATAGTTTCATTCATCCCAAGTTAACAAACGTATTCCCTTCCCATATTCTCCATAAATGAACACAATCCCAGAGCCTAAAAGTTTGAGAATAGACTTAGAAGATGCTAGGAGCTACAGGGAAATTAGCTCCAGCTCCAGTAGAACCATGATGCTAAATGTGTGCTTATATACACTTCAAGTATAATAACTAATGTAGTTGATTTTCTAAGTAAAATAAAAGGAAAGGAAACATACAGTGGAATAAATGCTTAGCAAGAGTATCATTGGGCATGAACTCAGCAACAAGCAGCCTCTCATCACCATCGCAGCAATACCCTATCAGATTGGCAAACCTGGGATGCCGTAGCTTCCCCACTCCTGAAGCCTCTTCCTAGAATAAAAAATCCCCCAAAATTCCACACACCCATTTCACAAAATCAGCCAAAATGAAAAAACAAACTCCACAAAAACAGTATCAAATTAATAACAGGGGAAGAGAAGAAAGAAGAAAAAGAAGAAGAAGGAAGTACCACAAATTGCTTGGGGTCCGGCCACGCCACTTTGGTAAACTTCTTCACGGCGATCCACTTGCGGTTCTGAAGGCGACCCTTGTAGACAATGTTCGGAGCCTTCTCGCCGCACTCGGAGACTATGAAGTTGGAGTTGAAATTGTCGGTGGCCGCCTTCAGGTCCGAGAAGGAGAACTCGGAGAAAGCCGAGACGGTTCCTCCGGTCGTCGTATTCGGGTCGGGCCCAACAGCCGCCGCCGCAGGCTCCGCCGGAGTGTAGGGCGGCTGAGGCTGCTGGGTCTGAACCTTCTCCGGGGGAGCCTCTGCTAGAAAGGTGGATTCACAGCAACCCATGACTCAGTTTTTTGGTTTTTGGCGATGCCCCTTTTCAAAGCTCAGTTTGAAGAGAAGGGGAAAGTGAAGAATTAGACGGAATTGAAAAGGAGAAAAAAGAGAAGAATATTAGTTGGGGCTGGGGTTGGGGGAGGGAAGCTTTTTTCTTTCTTCCTTTTTTCTTTGGTCTCTCTCTCACGTCTTGTGGTTCTTCTGCCACTGTTAACAAAATTTGCAGTGTGTTTGGAAGGATGGTAATAAAGAAGAGGAGCAGTTCTTTATTACATTACAGTGTTCATTCAATCAAACTACCAACTGTTCATAAATCAGCTGGATTCGATTGCTTAAATGTGCGGTTTTTTTGTTTTACAATTTTGTTCTTCAAGAATGACTAAACGTGGGTTAATCGGTCAACCTCCCCTCCTCGATCCAACATCAATTGATTAAGACATATTTCTTGATAAACAAAAATATCTTAGGTTTAAACTTTCTGGTACGTTGTTGGACAAAAAAAATAAAAAATAAAATACACAACAATATAGTGATGTTTCAAAACCTTCAAACTCATTCGTTATATTTAAATACATAATTTAGTCCATGCATAGTAAGTAGGTGAACTTTTAAGAATATCTAATAAATCTTGCTTTAGTAGAAGTTGAGCAAAGGTGTCAAATAGAACCGCTCCAGCCATTCACTTGCTACCATAGATTTCATGCCTGAAATCTCGTCGTTGTGTTTAGTGGCTATTTAATGAGTCCTACACGTCAACGCCTTAAATACAAAGATAAATTTTATATGTAGGTACCCAAATTCGATTGCTCTGTCTTGAGAATATACCTCAAATTCTACTAAGCTCTTCTCTCTCTTCGTAAGTTTTTTAGCACTTATTGAATCCAATTTTTCCAACGATCAAATTTCATGCAAAAATTATTACACTCAATCTTAGCATAACTCAATTACCTAATTAGTTAAGGTACTACTTTAAAAGTCGAAGATTTGAATTCACTCCCTCATATTTCATATTTTATTGTACTGCAATAATAAGAACACTTAGGAATAATATTTATTTTCTTAAAATATAATAATATTTTTTAATATGACAAGCTAAATAACTATCCTACCATAATTTTTAATTGGAAGGCAGATAGTCTAAAAGGTAAATTTCATTGGGCAATATCTTTTACAAAATATCATATTTGTATACATGCAGTGGTTTAAAGTAAGAGTAATAGTATATAGTATTGTGCTTATAATATCTTAAAAAGACAACAACGACAATCATTTGACTTAATAATAATAATTAATAGTAAATTTTAAGTATAATTAAAATAGATACAACACTCGTTATTATTTCTTTCATAGTTGATGGTTAGATCTTCCACCTCACAATTATTGAAATCAAAATTAGGATTATTGACATTGAAATAAAATAGTGGCACTTAATTTGTTTTTACATATTTTTTTTTACTATAATTAATAATTTAACTTGATTTTTTTTACTACAATTTAATTTTATGTTAATTTGGATAATCTTAGCCATCATTAATTGACTTGAGACACATTCTACTTCAAATTATATTTATAGTTATTTTCATGAAGAGGAGAGAGTGGAACTTGTGGCCTGTTTTTACAATGAGAACTCAATTTTTCAATTCTTCCCAATTGACTCTTATAAAATTTTACATTCTTTCTCTAATTTGGATATATTTTTCAAACAAATTAATTCTAAAATCTGTATAAGTTGGATGCCATCAATTAAAAAAAAAGGAAAAAAAAATAGGTAGGATGGTGGAGGTCAAATGTTTGAGGTTTATAGAAATTCAACATTACGTGACATTACATCATAATAGAGATTTAAATTTCTCGATTTTTTTTATAACTAAATTTTTAAAATTTCAATGATATATGCTTTAATTAATTACACAATTTACAATTTGTATTAATATTTCTCATCTCCAATATAGCTCAATTAATAAACATATATTCTTGATTCGGTAAAAAGTTTGAACTTCTCACATCTACACGTGAGGTTAAAGTTTTAAAAAAAAATTACAATTATATACATTTTTCAAATAATAATTATATGTAACTAATAAACACATAAAGCTTTTTATCAAAAATAAAAAATAAATACATAAAGCTACCTCTACGGGATTTCTTAAAAAATGGGAGAAGAAAATATCGAATTTGTAAAGTGAATGTAAACAAAGTCCCACATTGACTCGTAAGAACATGATCCATAGTATATAGATGATGATAATTATTTCGAGGCTTTTTTGTGAGACCAAAAGTATTATAGAGATATTTATGGTACTAATGAATAAAATTGTATCTTTAATCCAAAAAAATAAGAGAATTAGAAAATCTGCGTACAAAAAAATAATAATAAAAAAAAAACCTACAGCCACCATTTTGGAACGCTGATCTCGGGTACATACTGCTAAACTTATATTGTTACTTAGGTATATGTATGTATGTTTACTTATATTTAATTTTTCGAAATAAAATTCTGTAATTTATTTAATAAGCTTTCTCAAGGAAGTTGATTCTTTGACGCTATCATTTCATCATTAACTTTAGAAAAAAGATGTAAGGATTATTTTCAATTTTCAAATTCAAACTAATATTTATTTTAAGTTTAAATATGATTTTAGTTCGTGTAATCTCTCTTTCTACTTTCAAAATGTCTATTTTAATTTTTGTCCTATTATCTTATGTTTAATTAGTTTTTTACTTTCAAAATATCTTGGCCCCTATATTTTTAAAGGTTATTATTTTGATCATTTCATTTTTATTTTTATCCAATTTCTTTGTAGTGGAACACTTGGTTCTCTAAATTTCTTAAAACGTAGCCGTAAGAGTGTATCATAGAATTTTCATTGTGTATAAAATTTTGTAAACAGAGACTAATATTGTTACTTTTTTGAAGTATCGAGATCAAAATGAACGTTTTAAAAGTATAGAAACTGAAAGTACAAGAACTAAAATTAGTACAAAGACTAACATGATCTAAAATAATATTTAAACCTTAATTTTAATATGTAACCCATCATTTATCATGAGAAACTTTTGGTGCGTTTTATATTTTTAATTTTCCTTTTACAAAAGTAGGTTAGAAGATTTGAACTCCGGATTTAATTTTTAAACCCATTGGTTATTTTTGTTAATAAAAGTTGCTTAAGCTTTCAAATAATTTTTTTTTCTTCTCTTCTATTATATTTAAAAGTATTGGGGAAAAAGGCATATGAATTTTGTATTCCTAATGGTGGTGTGGACACATTTCTTGATTTCAATCAATAACTTTTACATAAAATAATTGGAAATATCATGGTGGGATTATTCAATTCTTTTCCTTTCATATGATATTGTTGAATATATTCTTCCAACCAAAAGGCCACTCTTTTTTTTTTTTTCTTTTTGGCAAAACCTCATGATTAGCCATGAAGTGAAAAAAATTTCCTCACAAATTTCTTTCATCAAGAGGATCTAATTGTAATTTCAAATATTTCTTTATTTTTTTTTTCTTTTATTTTTTTACCTCTAGAAGAAAGTAAGTTACAAGAGTTATAGAATGACGAGCAGGCATTAAAACCAAACCATTCGATTTTATTAATGAAATTAGTTTTGAAAATCTTTAATAAAGAAGTAGGTCTAAATTAATTACCAAAAAAATAAAAAACTATAACTTTACTCTTTATTTTCAAAAGTCCTCTATCCCTCGAAAATTTTCAATAATAGCTTCGACCTTGAACATTTCAAAATTATCTTTTGAGCAGACATCCACTAATATTTTAAAGGAAAAATTGATATGGTAGAATCTAAAACGACGTAGAAATTTTTTTGGATTATATTTGAATGAAATATGAAGGAGTTATCGTTTTTAAAAGGAGGGACACAATTTGATCGACAATAGAGAAATAAACTCTATTCACAATGGAGGAAGAAGATCTCTATGACAAAATTGAGACATTAATTATCTCTTAGTTCTAGAGAATAACATATCTAAAAATTTTGTTTGGACTTTATATATATATATAGTAAGTGGTTTTTTTTTTCCTTCTTTAAAAAATCAACATATTTATGTTGAGAGGGCTCAAGTCCACTAGATCTATTGTAGATCTGCCTCTAATTCTAAATCATATCAACGAATGTTTGCTCAAAGGATAATTCTAAAATGTCTACGAAAGATCGAAGATAGCATCGAACATTTTGAAACAATAGAAGTATTTTTAAATAAAAATGAAAATTTCACGAGTATTATTATTATTAGCAGTTCAGTCCAATATTGAAAAAAAAATAGGGTTAAACAGAGAGTAATAAATTGAAAGAGGATGAAGAGATGATCCAAAATTGGACCTGCTCAGAAGTTTTTTCTGGAACACCGGAATATCTCAGCTGTCACGTAAGACAATAACAGCAGACTTTGATTTTTTTCACATCAAACTTCTTAATGATGTTTTTTTTTAAGGTTTAAATTTGATATTTTATTTGAAGAATCGTTATTAAAAGAAAAAGGTAGAATTAGTTTTATGGTTCAAATATTTTGAAGATAAAATGTAATTAACCTTGAAGAAACTATCTGTAGATTTAGCAATCCAAGGCAGAATTGATTTTATTAGTTTGAAAACCATCAAGTAATTTAGAGAGATTGAATTATTTATAATTCTTTTCCGTAAGCTCTCTCTTTTCATTTTTCATCTCATTTCTTTACACTACACTCCCAAAAAAAAGCTTTGTATACAACAATAATTCAACCAAAAAACATAGCCAATTCTTCCATGAGCTTCAGCTTCTCTTTCTTGGATCCTCCATTATTTATCATCTGCAAAGAACTTGCTCAATTCCCCCAGATGCCACGACTTCCCCATGCGATCAGGCCGGCCTCGAGGGCCAGCCATGGCTGTCCAACCACCGATCCCGAGAAACCGAACTGTCAAACACCCTTCTGTTGAGTTCCAACGGGAGGGAGTTGTGACTGAAGGATGTAGCAGCAACTGCTGTTTCGAAAATGATATTTAGCGCCTGCCTGCACGGTCTGCAACTGAGTTAGTTACTCCAGCCCCTCGAGTTTATGGTTAGGTTCGAGTCGGTACAAACTGAGGGAAGGGATTATCAACCAACTCTTTGATGGTGTTTGTCATAGGTAGTCTGGTGGTGATTCAAATGACAAGAAACAATCAACCTCCTTCATGTTCTTGTCTTGGCGCTTTCTTCAGCACTTCGTTGCAGAAGCTCCTCATAAGCTTTCATCGAGTCTGATGCAAACCTTTCGAGGGCCTTGAAGATGGATTGCAGACCTGCCTGCAGGCTGCTGTTCCCAGTTTCATCCCCTTGCACATGTCCAGTAACCAGAATCAGTTTTTTTTCTAATGTCTGAATCTTTTTCTGCAACTTCTGGTCGTCTCGGTCGATTCTTTTCACTTTCCTTTCGAGATCCTTGTTTGTTATCATCGTCTGCTGCACTTCTTGCTTGTCATGCTCCCAGATTTGAAGCACGCTCTTAGCGAACATGTGCATCGAATCGACGACCTCCTTCTCAGAGAATCTGTCCACACTCTGTGACCACTGATTGCAGATTACAAATATGGGTGGTGCACCGACCCTGCTGGGCGAGAATGGAACGATCCCATCGGGTGTTTCTTCAGGCTCGTACAGGAGGCATTTCAGTAGCCAATTATTCAAGGCTCTCACAAAATTTTTCTGGGCACTTATCCAACCCGAGAATCTAGATGTCCAGCTAATAAGCTCATGATCGAGTTGCAAAGTCACTCGAAGATCGAGATCACTAGGCTTTTCACCATATCTAATGTGGCCTAAACCCCTCGATTCTTTAATCGCTTGAAACTGAAACTGATGGCATTCGAGCATACCTTTCCACATCCTGGTTAACCTGCAATCAAAACACATTCCACATTTAACAACCCATGTTCAAGCAATATACTTTAGAAACATCCAGAGACATTCAGAAGAACAAACATCCCATGAAAAGACTGGAATGCTCGATGTGTCGTATACCATTGTAATCATCCGAATTCGAGGAAAGAAAATGATGTTTTCGAATGGCATACAATATCAACATGGCGAAGTGAACCAAACAAAAAATTGAAGAATCCACATACCCTTGAATCAGTTCATTCACTTGTGGCCATAGTTCTTCATCCCGAATCTTATTTATCAACACAGAAATCTTGTCGACAACCTGAATCGCAATTTTTAAGTTTGTCGAAAGACTATCTATGGAAATTCGAGTGGCCTCCACTTTCGGGGCATCAGCACCTCTCTCGGTTAAACGTTTTAGCTTCTGGCGCTGCCTCTCATGGGTCATCCGCATCTTTTCCTCTGCCTAGAGAAATGTACAAACAAAAAATTCTCAGTAAAGACAGTAAGTTAACAAAGAGTGCAAATATCTCTGCCTTCTAGTCTTGTTAAATATATGTTCTTTGCCTAACATGAACTCCGACCATACTATCAAACCAGAAGACGCAATTTTAGATACGAGTC